GACACTCGAACTCGGATTCCGGGCTTTTAGGCCACATGCAAATGCGTACCGTGCGAAAGGCGGTCCGTCCAAATTTTCAGGGGATTCGACCGGTGTCATCTCACTAGGATGAATCCAGGGAGGAGGGATTTCTCTCGAAAAAAAAATTTAATCTCGAGGTGGAGGAGATAGGATTTGAGAAAAAAGACACGCGAGGGGGAGGGATTCGTCGGCCGCTTTGGATCTATTGGGATTTCGAATTAACGCCCCGGGCGGCACTTCGGCACGGTCCGCCACTGGTCGCATGCCAATAGATACCAGTCTTCAACGCTTCGAATTCAATCCGATTGCGAAGATTTGGATCGAATCGATGGTCTTCAGACTCCATCCAACGGAAGAAAGCAGGCCGTATGTACTATGTCTTTGCTCTCAGCTGGCAAATCGGTGCGGCACTGGCTCCCTTCATTAGCGGCTCACTTAAGGTCGACAAGGTCCAGCTCGCGGGAGCAGGCAATTTTCCGCCTTAAGCGCCCTTAACGTTGAATGTCACATCGTGATATTATCCCGGCTTAGGGCAAAGCTTGACCAGGAATGCATATTTATAGAGCCATCACTCTGAGGTTAGAATATGAGCGAGGGCGAAGTCCGGATTGTTGTCTCGTGACGACTTCGGCTCACTCCATGATGCGACCGCCGACGATAACGTGTCTTCAGCCCGCGCTGCAGGGTTCCGAAGTGCGGGTGCCGAAATCCGGTTGGCGAGTCCGGTGGCTATGTTTTGTTTGTCCTCCTTCCGCCTATCTCTGCGCGCTAATCCATCTGGAGCAACCGCTTATCGCAAGAGCGCCTCTCCGGTTCCTGAACGACCGATCCAACTCATTCGGCAGGTTCCGCAACGCGCCGGAGTGATATTCTCCTCGACATTATTATCAGGTTTGGTGAGCCTGCGAGAAGGAACTCACTCAGTGGCAGGTAGTGTCAGTTTCCCTAGTGTGATGAATGATTGGGCGTCATTAATAATGCACCACGATAAGGTCCCGCTTTGTTTCTATTCCTCCTCGATAGTCCTCCTTGTGTGTCGCACTCGATCGTTCGTAAGCCGACACGGATCCCAGCAGCTCACTGAGCGATCGCTGAGAGTAATGCTCTGCGGACATCACCGCCGCGCACATCGAGCACGGAGTTCGGAATGCAATGGCAACGAATCTTGACTCTTCGAACCGCCCCTTCGAAGAGCTCTACATCAGCACCGTCTACCTGGTTGGAAAAATGAGAGGAACTACTCGAATGCACTTGGAGTCGAATAGGTATGAAAATTATTCTGATTCAAATTCGCGAAATCGACGCCATCGATGCTTCGGGGAGCACCGAGTCCTCCCTCTGATTGACCGACCGAAGTGTGCATAATCTTTCTAGAGCGGGAGAGTCTAACTTTCCTGAGCGCGCAACCCCTGGGGGGTTCCGCGGTAATTCCATTATTGGTCTTCCCGCTCCGCGAAAGCGTCGAGCATCGTCTCGTGTAACACACAAAATGGGATCGCCTCCATGGAATGAGGATTCTCTCTGGACAGGGCGATCGCTCACTCGTGTATGCTCAGGGTTCCGAGGAACCGGGATCGAGGACTACTGATCTAGAGCTCAGAAACCTGGGGGAAGTCCGATTGGCGACTACTGAATGATCTACGAGTCGGCGACCTCCGTTCCGCGCTGGAAAGATGTTCTCATCACATTGACATCGAAATCGGATTCGGCGAAGCTGTGGGGGAAGTCTCCGATGCTGAGGCGGGAGGCCGCCCTTCGAATCTCTGAGTGAAACAACTCTTCAGTCGACTGGGACTCCGAAGCTGGCCAGATAACATCCAAGCCGTCGTCGCAATCCTATCCCAACACTTCTGGACCGGGACACGACCTAACAAGCAAGTATTCATCAATCAATACATCAGGATAATGCCGAAGAGTGGGAGGAAATCAAGAACGGAAATCGCGAGTTGACCTTTCACTTTACGCTGCCGATCATCAGAGAAGGTGGATAATAAGGGACCATGACCAGGGGACGCAAGAGCTCAAATGAATGAGTTCGCCATCCGGTGGACATCGAGCTCTCGTCCGCGCGATTCAGTCCCTGTGATGCGAGAGTGGTACCACTCCACCGATGATCGGCCCGCCGGTTCAGCGACGACATTCCCTCCTCGCCGGTAAGTGGCGAGGGTGAGCCTACAGAGGAGTAAACAGAGAACGGTCTCGAAATTCAAAACATTCACACGAGGTTCGAATGCTTCACGAGAAGAGCGAAACAGATGCGGTGTCATCAACACCGGCCGAAATGCATTCAGAAACCGATTCGAAAAGGAAGCTCAGTGAGTCTGGAGGGGATGACGAGATGGAAACGGAAGTTCAGCTCCCTCAGAAGCGATACTACCGACAAAGAGCGCATTCGAATCCCATAGCCGACCACTGTTTCGACTAGTAAGTTCAGAATTTTAGACAATTTGTTTGGCAAGGATCCGTTTGAGTCCTCCGAAATCCTGCCCAGAATCTTCAGAGTTTCCACGAAGCTGAACATCACCGGGAAGTTTTTTTCCAGTCCGTGCACTCCGAATGACATGGATTGGACATCTCTCCTTGAGGGGTTCTCGGACCTTTCGAGAGTCGAATTCGCAGACATCGGTTGTGGTTACGGCGGCCTCCTCGGTGAGTTCTCCCAAATTTCGAATCGCGACGAAGGGGAGAGCAGCCGGAACTCCCTGGCGGTGCGCAGAGGAACGAGGGAACTTTTTCCGAGAAATGATTGATTAATCGCCTCGAGTCGCCATCTCAGTTAACTGAAGTTCTTTCCAGTCGAGCTTTCCCCCATGTTCCCTGAAACCTTCATGGTGGGGATGGAAATTCGCGTGAAAGTCTCCGACTACGTCATGGATCGCATTCAGGTAAGACGCCAAGTCCTCTACGAAACCATGATGGATGGGGAGTCGAATCATTCCCGATGACAGCGGCTGCTCCCTGCAGGCTCTTCGGAAACTTCATCCTGGCCGATACGGCAACATCTGCTGCATTCGCACAAACGCCATGAAGTATTTGCCGAATTACTTCCGGAAAGGTCAGCTGAAGAAGATGTTCTTCCTTTTCCCGGATCCCCATTTCAAGAAAACGAAGCACAAGTGGCGCATCATCAGCCATCAGCTGCTGGGAGAATACGCATATGTTTTGGCCGAGGGAGGCCTCATCTACACCATAACCGACGTGGCCGACCTAAATGAGTGGATGGTTTCCCACATAACAGCACATCCGCTTTTCGAGAGGATATCGGATGACGAACTCGTACGTATGCAGTAGTTGTAAGATACGTCCCGACAGAACGGGTTCATCGGTGACGGGAGTGATTCCAGCCATACTTTGATCATTTCAGAAAAGCGATCCGGTTGTGGAGAAACTATCCGATAGCTCCGAAGAGGGAAAGAAGGTCACCCGGAACGATGGCGAGAAGTATACGGCAGTCTTTCGGCGTATAAAGAAGCCCCCCGCATCATAGTGAGGGTCGTTTAGTGCAGTATTGCTACATTATCTGTTGAACGCCTTAACCGGAATGTTGCCTGTTTGTACATTAAAGATCTTAACATCACCCACGGAGAAAAGAGGTCCCTTCCATTCATCGAGGAGGTATCTGAAAAAAAGTAGCACGACGGGGCCAGTTAAGGCAGGGAGCTATTTTGGTGTTTCACTATGTCTTTATTCATTTGTGATAACCTGAGCTCTCAACTACTTGGCATTATTGTTTGTTGAGATCACTTGGTTTATGTGGCCGACCGGGCTGATCCGCTCGAGGCCTCAATCCTCAGAAGGGAACGCTGCACGTTCCCTGCATATTTCGCTCCCCCCGACAAAAATTGATACTCGACATTGGCAAAAACTTTTTTCACGACGCATCAGCAAGGCCCAGGGATGGACTCCGGACCGAGCCAGACACTCCGAGCCCGAGACACCCTCCGGCTCTTGGCGGTTGGATAATTCGATTCGAAAATATACAATGACACGACAGAGGGAATAGAACTCCGGTGAAGAGCCCAATTCGAGACTCTAAGCCATGAAAATTTTTGGTACAAGTCGGATTTCTTCGGCCAAGCTAAAGTTTTCGCTGTCCTCAAGTATTTTTTATGACTATGATGTCCCTTGATCTCCGTGAGGAAATTCGTTAGGAGAAAAGACGATGGCATATAGAATGAGGATGATCCTAGCGGGACGGAATAAGGGACATACAACTCATCCCTCATCAGATCGCCCGCTACTGCTTTACAAGATTCTTCATGAATGATGTCAAGTCGTACTCCGACTCGTATTGACTCGGATCCCACAAATCGGGCAGGTTCTCCAACAAGCATTTCACGGAGCCTCCGCTGGGACGGTCGTTGCTCGACGGCTGCTGCTCATTGCTCACAGAGAAGAGATCGATCAGTTTGTCGGTGCCCATGCTCTGGAGGCTGCTGTTCTCGTTATTGATCACAGTGTTTGCGATGGACATCTTGAATCTGCATGGGTGAGAGAATGTCAGCGCAGCGTATCAGCGCGTCGATTTGAGTGACTGATCTAGAGGAGGCGATTTTTGAGCTCATGTTCCCTGTAACTCACCTCTGGAGACCCATTATTTTCTCTTCGAGTGTATTTCTCGTGATGAGCCGGTACACATTCACGACCTTCTTCTGACCGATACGGTGAGCGCGATCCATGGCCTGCAGGTCTTTCATGGGGTTCCAGTCGTGCTCAACGAAGATCACCGTGTCGGCTCCAGTCAAGTTGATGCCCAAGCCACCGACCTGATCAAAGAAATCGAATGGCCTCTGGATCTCGCGTCAAAACTACGTCCACAATTTTATCAGACACTCGGGATCTCTTATCGAGTGGATCTTAATGGTGCGAGCGAGATTCGCCAAACTCACCTGTGTAGTCAGAAGCAGAAGGTCGATGGAGGGATCGTTGTTGAACTTTTGCACTAGGGATTGACGATCTCCAGCAGGAACTGATCCATCGAGTCGGAGGTAAGATACCGAAGGCATGTTTTTCTTGAGAAGGTCGTTCTCGACGAGATCGAGCATGGACTTCAGTTGGAAGAATACGAGGCAGCGATGAGTATTCACAATCGTTTCTTCGGTGGTTCCTATTCCACAGTCCTGGAGGAGCTGTCTCAGGGCCAAAAGTTTCGAAGAAACCGAAATATCGTTCAGAGAAACTTTGTCTTCTTGGAGTTGCTTCAGAATGGCGCTGTATTCCGGATGAGACGGCGACAGCGCTAGTTTCGGATGATTGCAGACCTTCAAACACGGGAAATCGATAAGAGCTCAGATTCTTCCCACCGATCCCTAACTACAGTGCGTCAGAATTTCAAAGAGACCTGTTTGCAAGAAATTCGCGAATTACCTTCCGAAGGTAGTGAAGTGCTTGGAAAACATGTTGATTCCGGTTTTCGGTTCCAGTCTGCTTTTGGAGAGCCTCGACAACCTCGGTGTTCGCTTTCGACTTGGAGAAGTCTTCGTAAAGTCGCAGCTAGGCGAATAGAGAAAGACAATTATTATCGCCATTATACTCGATTGCCTGTGCTATCCGGTTGGCCGAGATAGGATCCACCGTATATCCTGCGTAGTCTATGATGGTCTGACGAACCTGCAGTGGACTCAGTTCACAATAATAGTCTTGAATTATTTTCGGTGGTAGATCGGAGAGCACCTCTTCTTTGGTCCTCCGAAGGACGAACGGGAGGACTTGCTTATGCAGCGCTTCCATGGCGAGAACACCCTGTTCCTGTTCCTTAGGACTTGCTTTGCCCTCGCGTGAAGCCAGGATCGGTTTCGCGTAGCTTAAAATAAGATAAGTTCTGAATCAGGCTATAAGCCTTGGGGTGCATGGGCACATCGGCTTCGGCAATAAGTCCAGGTCGTCGCTGAAATCGAATCGGACGTCCGAGGAGATGGTAAGTCAGGTGAGGACGTACCGAGCCGTGAAAAACTTCTCCGAACCCAGGAAGCCCGGCATGAGGAAATCGAATAAATTCCACAATTCTGTCACATTATTTTGGATCGGCGTCCCTGACAGGATGAGTCTGTGCTTCGCATTCAATTTCTTAATGGCTCTCGAGAGCTGTTGAAGAAACTCCACTCGATTAAAGGATAGTCTCGTCCGACTCCGGGACCAGGAAATTCGATCGACCGTTTCCGGGGAAGATGACGGATACCAAGACGTACTTTAGTTTTGTTGTTTTTGATGACATGTCCCTCGTCCAGAATCGCGTAGTTCCATCGGATTCCGCTGAAGAAATCGATGTCGTTCCGCACGAGATCGTAGGAGGCGATTAGGATCACGTTGTGACTCTTGTTGTGATGTCTTTTGGTGTACAATGTTTGTAGTCTCTGACGTTCAAACGGTGGACCTTTGGGAAAGTAAACGCGTCACTATGTGATGCTTCCGAAGACCGACATACGTATACTCGATCGATAGGTGGCAGATGACTCGTTCTTAGCGTCTATGCCGCTCGATGAGAATGCTCACCCGTGTAATGCAGAGGATCTAGATGTTTGAGCTGAACGAATTTCTTGATTTCGTAAACCCAGTGGCCTGTCAAGGTTGGCGGACAGACGACGATCGACGGCATGGGGGCACAGTCGACACTCTTCGACTTGAGAAAGTCTTCCTGACGTCTCTGATGATCCGAAGCAAGGAGACAAATCGACTGGAGGGTCTTTCCGAGACCCATGTCGTCACAGAGGATTCCATGGAGATTGTATTGATTCAAGAAAGCCAACCAATTTATTCCCGTTTGTTGATACGATCTGAGTTCAGCTTTCACAGCGGTGGAGACCTTCGCAAAGGGGGAGATTCTATTGTGTGAGATATCGGCTTCGAGTGAAATTCCTATAGCGCCAGTTCGAGGATGCGCTTCATGGTCTACTCACTTTATAGTCTTGTGCATGCTTTGCGTCCAGCAGCTGGTCGATGAAAAGTCGCTGTTGATCTGCTTGCGCTCGGAGCTGTTCGTCTCCAATCGCGTTCAGACCTGTGCCCGTATCGAGGGGCATTAGGGGCACCAGATTCGCGAAACACTGGGTCGCGAGCAATCGTACATCGTTATTCTGGTCTGCCATCGCGGAGAGGATCGGCACTATGAAGAACGAAATGAAGGGTACGATGCGCTCTCGCAAGCGTTCGACTACGCAGAATATCGTCTCGAGTGCTCCCTGTCGCAAGGTGTCATTCTGGGTAGCACCCAATTTCTGCAGCGCGTTCTTCGTCAGATGAATCATCGTTGGTCTGTCGAGAGAGAGCGCGACGCTTCAACGAATTTCACCGCAAACGTACTCCATTGAGTTGATGATCAGCTGTCAATCGAGAGAACTCACGTTGGATTGGCATCGGCGAGACTGGCCACGCATCGGGCGGCCATATGACGCACCGCAGCCAAGGAATATTGACTACACTTGTCGAGTCGCGGAAGGAGATCCTGCACTTTCTCCCTCAAGTCGCCACTCAGGGCAGGACAGATTATCTCGAGCGTCTGCAGAGCTTCAATAATGGATTTGGCTTGCTCTGCATTCTCCGGAACGTTCTCGACAGCCCATTGATCGATCGGCTTGATGATCGACTCCCAAAGGTAGGGCAACTCGTCGAAAAGGTTCGGTCCAAAAGTCTTCGCGATCTCCGTGAGAGCGAATTGAGCTCCGCGTCGTTGCGTCTCGAGCGCGAGCTTCTGTTTCCGTGAGTCTTCATCTTGGGGCACCGGAGGGAACTGGAATAGGTAAGAGTGAAAATTCCCTCCGAGAATTTTCAGGATTAAGTCAAGAGGGTCCCTGTTTTCGGGTGATGCTCGGGATTCTGACTCTCTGCCCATCTCACCTCGGGAGCCGAAGGTGTTGACGGGGTCGTCGGTGGCGGGGTAGAAACGCTCTGGCCTCGCCGGAAGTGTGGTCGCTTGTTCAGAGACTGTTCGGCCGTCTGAGAAATGAATAATCGTATATTTAATGGGGTACAGCTCCACTGTGGCCTGAAGCGGATCGCAAACATAATGTCCGTCTTCTGAGTCATCAGTCGTGGAGATGAAAGGACCTTGTTCATTTTGTGTAGCGTGAGTATTCCATCGATGACGTCGGAGCCTTCTCCAATGACAGGTGTTTCGTCGGGGTCACAACAAGCGTAATTTATTAGGTTCTTCAGAACTTTCGGTACTGGGCACGGCTCCCTGCAGCGGGAAAAGGCTCGGTTGGAAAGGGACCGCAGGCGGAATGAGTCGCGGGTACGATCGAGGGTGTCGGTCTATAATTGAATAGAGTTCCCACCTGCTTAGCGCATGCCGCAGCAAAGACGCGAGAGACTTCGCCGATAGCTCCTGCAGAGGTGCGTGGACTTCTCGTTTGAGTGATTCCATCAGAGGTCTGATTACCGGGTTCAGTTTCACTGGGAGTCTGTCGGGCAGGCAGACAAGAAGAGCAGCGAGAGCTCCGAGGGTCCTGAAACCGTGACGACATCGGAATGGAACTGGAGCCCCAACCGAAAGCGATCCGGTGAATTCTTTCAACGAGAACAGCAGGAATGTCGGGAGAACAACTCACATGGTCCCGAGGTTCTGCTGATCCGAGATGGTCTGTTTCGTTGAGCTCAAAACGAGCTTCCGTTTCTCCTCGATGCTTTCTAGGGCCTTCGCTTTGAGTTTTGATTTCGATATCAAGTCCGGGAGAACCTTCAGAGACATACTCGTTCGCATCCTCGCCCGGATTATCTATATTGCAACGTCGGTATCTGCCCTCAGTAGAGGAAAATCCCGAGAGGAACTCACCTTCGCTGCCAGATTGCTCGCTTGATCTGCTGTGAATACCGGGAGGTTGGAGAACTCATTCTCCGCGAACGGTAGATCATAATGTCGCATCAAAGCCAAGAGATCCCGACAATCGTGCTGCAGCCGTGTGAAAACGGACGCTATCTGAAAATGACCATAAGAATTCTGCTAACACACCCGACCCGATTTTCGGCTTGCTCGACAGAAACTCGACTATGAAATTTCACGGCACCTCATCGTAGAGAACTGGCTCTTGAAGGCATTGGAGAACACAATCGGAGACAGCTACGGGACACTCCTCCATGGTATTGCTGGGGAAGCTGAGGATTAGAACGAAGACCTCAAGACGCGTTTCTTGGAAAGTCCCCAAATGAATAAAAGATGGAGTCATTCCAGAGCTGTGTTTTCACAAGGCTTCGACCGAGGACGTACCCATTTTTCCGAATGATCCACTCTCTTAAGACTAACGCTGATACCGTCCGTTGGAGGGCGCTCTTCGTAGAGAGGTGGAAGATGAGAAGCCTCGAATAACAATCCAAGGGTGATTCCGTGTATTCAGTTGCCGGCGCTGGTTTCGTCACGAAACACGATAGAGTCCCTAGCATCTGACAAACTGTAATCCGGGCTTGGAGTACGAGACGTTGACGGATTTTCGCCGATTCGGCGAGCGACTCCTTGCCGGCGATGTAGATCTCTGCCCTCTGTAATACGATCTTTCGGGTGAATTGATGATACAGATGAGGTCGAAAGGCAGTGCCCCGCAGGATCCAAATCGACCGGGATTCGAGTACCTTCCCGACGGAGTTCTTGCTCTCCAGCCATACAGGCATCAGCGTGGGATCGATCGACAGCTTGGCCGGATGCATCGCCAGGCACAACCACCCGCTGAGGAGAGGACATGCAGCGAAAAGCAACTGGCCAAGTTCCGATGCTTGCAACATAGCTTCCCAAACCTCTCCGACAGCTTTGACCACTGCCGGCTCCGTTTCGATGAGCGCCCGTTGGAAGAGCGTCCGCAGCGCTGTCGACATCTGATCGGTGAGAAGAGCACTGGGAGAGAAAATATAATTAGGTCTGCCAGATATCGCATTCGAGTTCCTCGATGAAGCAAGCCGGAGTCGCGTGAACGGAAAGTACTCTCTCTTACCTCTGTTCTCCTTCGGTGGATGCTATCGTCCGCAGGGAGTTCAAGACCGAAACTCGGACACTGCGCGAATGATGCTCCAAGAACGGCCACAGCAACTGAATGTTCTCGAGCGAGACCTTCATCGTCGAACACGTATGCGGTAATACTTGAGATAAAAGACTGAGAATCGATTGCGTGGATGAGGAGAGCTCGTCCATATCTTTTAGGCACATCCACAACCGATCCGACAGAGGCACCATGTGTTGTGGCAAAATTCTCGGGAGGTCCGAAATGATCGGAAGGAAGGCTCCCGCAGCCACCGCGGAAATGTCGTCATTATGGTCTCGAAGACTGTCGAACAGAGGCTGGAACACAAGCGGCAACCATTTGCTCCTCTCGATGCTGCGACCGCCGCTGATCGCTAGAAGGTATTTTATGCCTGGAAGGACGGGGCTGGATTGATCATCGACGAAGGGAGTCGAATCGATCTTCTACGACGCAGATCGGAGCCTTTCGTCATCGTTCCCGTCGTATTCTGGGGTTGCAAACTAGCAATATGATCCTCACCCAATAATCCACCGTGCCTGGCCTCCCATTGATCTTTGGTCTGAGCCATTTTCAAAAGGACTCCGAGCAACGCATCGACCTGTTTAGCATCCATCACGCTTAGACAGAAACTCAGAGTCTGCGCACTCGTTTCGCGGACCGGCGCCACAACCTGGGGGGAAATAAGGTGTTATTTCGAGGACGAGGGTGTTCAATCAACGGATATACTGAGTTGGGTCTCTGAGGACTGGTCAGCTGTGGGGAACTCGTTTGGTAGGGAACTAGTGATGTAGGCAGAAGCGTACCTGGTCTGAGAGATAATCTCCGAACTTATCCAGAGCGAGCACGCATACAAGCCGAATAGCCAAGTCCTCGAGATATTGCTGATTGGATTGCGTCATTTCATACTGTGTCATCCTGCAAAATATGAGGTATAACTGACGACTTAGTTTAAGACACCCACGCTTGATCGATGGAAAGAGAAATAGATCGGCGGAATAGTGATTGCTCGGAATCCTGCTGGAGTTTTCAGAGCTCGCTTACCCTCTACAGATTCCGGCACCAGATCCGTGCAATTTGACGATTTCCCGCAGAGCGGTCGCAGCGCCATGTCGGTGCTCCCAAACAGAACTGAACAGGTCTTCTTTGAGCATCTCGCAGAAGGAGCTCAGAGGCCACTCGTCCCACTGAAAGATTCAAATGCATTAACACACCCGCCCGAAACAAGTAATGAAGAGGTCAAACAAATTCCCGAGAAGTGGGGGGATGAGACCCGAAGGATCCGCTGAGGAAACTCGCCCCTGAACCAGGGTCGCTCATGTATACAATGAAAACGTGTAGACATCAGCGAGGATCAGTTATCAGTTATAACCATAACCAGGACCAGGACACCGGATGAATTTTTGATTAGATTTCGGCCACACCTTTTCAGTCGACGTAGATGTCGAAGAGCTGCTCGACTCCTCAGACGATGCCTCCCGCTTCAAAATTTTCCGCGGCTTTGGACCCGTTTCGGCGGATGCCGAGCTCCCCAAGAGGGTCCGAACTAAGACATTTATGTCCTGGAAAAATTCAGACCATGAAGGAACCAAGTGGAGCCGTCCAGAGACTCATCCTGGTATAAGGATCGGAGCGTTCACGATTGAGCATGTTTCCAAGGTATCATTAGACGTGGAGACCCTTCTAGGCCCACCTGTTTGAGCTCTTGATCAGGAGTTTCCGTTTCCATAGGTTCTGTCTGAAGATCTGTGTCGTTGAACAAGTTTTTCGACGGCATACCCAATTTCTCGCAAACGTCGAGTCCTAATCTCTTTGTGAGAGCTTTGCGCTGCCTGACAAGATCTGCGGAATTCGCACCATTCGCCTCCGGACCGTCCGAACTCTGAGGATTCGAATCGGTGTATATTTAATTATCTCTTTCAACGCCCTAAGCTTCCGCTATCTCCCATTTTGATTTGAGATTCTGGAGCGGAAGATGAATTGAGGCCCTATTCAAAGATTCTACAGCGTAGAGCCTACCTTCTCGAACTGTTTGCCTTCTGAGCCGACCAAGGGTTTGCCATTCCGAAGGATCAGCTCGATATCGAATTTATCCAGTGACAAGCGAGGCTCATTCTTCCAAAGTTCCGACTTGACCTCGGATTCTCTTTTCACGGACGCGTCAGGTCTCCAAGGCTCTACGTTCTCCATGATGGCAGTCACGGCAGCGGCGGCGGCGATTCGCGTATCCCAGTTCGCACTCCGCAAATATTTGTGGACCTGTAACGCCAAATTCCGGTGAAATCAGATCGGTGGGGCTGTGACGTCTCCCGCCAATAAATTCCACCAATAGTCGAGCAGAGAAGTTCCTACGATGAAAGTGTCCATATGGTCGCAACGAAATGCCCGTGGTATAATCCAGATTATTCTCGACGGAAAAGCAAGTCATAACGGGCCCAGGCTAAAATGACCGTCGGAAACTGTCCATCCATCTTTTTTAAAGAACAGACCTTGTTCAGGAGATAGTTGAGTTTGTGAGGATGCACTCTCTGGAGCTCGCCAAGCTGTTTGGCGGCCGCTTTCCGGGTCATGGTAGACTGTCCGGTGTCCAAGAGGACGAACAGTCGATCCAGTCTGTATGATAGAAGATCTGGCATCAGTTCTCCGTTCCCCGGAATAATATAGTGTGCGAGGTGATTCAATCTTTTTTCCCGATCCTGTATCTGAGTCCGTCGAATCTCCTTACCTTGAGGTCATTTTGCGCGCTTGTATATCACAGGTTTCAACTCTGTAACGGGAAACACGCCTGAAATATGTGTACCGAACCTAACGCACGGACCGCATTACAGCCGCGTTTCAATTTCGCTGTGATCCGATAGGATTTTCAATATCCAATTGTTCGATTGCTCGCGACGAGTCGTTTTCCTCTCTAGAGTTGCTCGCTTCGGTTGAGCAGCTCGAGGATAGGAGGTCCGAGTCCACGATCATAGAGCTCGAGCTCAGAGAGAAATAGAGCCACTTCGCAAGCAGAACCGCTACGATGTTCCGAACGTCGTTGAGACTCAGACACATCATGCGCACATAACGAGCTCAATCTCTCCCTCCAAGGAGGAGCACGCGGCGCCGCGCAGCGATATCAGAAGGGAGCTGCACAGAATTTCCAGACTTCGAATGAGGGATGCCCACGACGGGAGTATCCAATCGGGGCTCTGTTCTCAGGTGCTCGAAGATTGGATGATACAGCTGATCAATATCTTTTGTTTCGAAACACCACAGCTAGCGGCATTCAACGGATTCGTCAAATAGGGATTCGCTGTATTCGGCGAAATGCGAAGTCTGTAGGCTAACCCCGCCATTAAAAGAAATTACTCCGTTTCCAGGAAAAGAAGTTCGCTCTCAGTGCTCTCCGGCGTTTTCCGGTTTCTCCTTTGAACGAACGTCGCGAGCTCAATTTCCTTGTGAGATAACTTCCCGGTTCTCCTCCTAATGCCAGAAATCTGATGAAATCACGGTGCTCTCAATATGATGTCATTACGACCCACGGTTCGGACATCGCCCGTCTCTCAAAGGTGGAACGGAGGACTTCTCGGTCATCGATCGTGTACTGTGTCATTATGTATAACGAACCCGAGGATCGGATACAGCGAGACTCCATTCTTCGCTTTCAGCTCCCATATCTTTATGCAAACCGAGCTCTTGGGCAGCCTCGGCTCATTCTCTCTCATTCATTGCATAAGTTCCCCGAGTACGGTTGAAAGAAATCGGGTAACGAGACCACGTCATTCAATCGAGTCTGATTCTCGAGAATTCGAGAACCGAATGCGCTCGCTCCGAGGAGCAAGCTCATTCGTATCCAATTACCTCAATGGACTTTATTAAAATGGAGGGGTCTGTTGTCACGGAACGGAGAATTCTTCTAGAATAACTTTCTGTGGGAATGATCAGCGAGTGTACGGCAAAATTGTCCCTATCGCGATTCGCAGAAGGCTCCCCAGTCAATATCCGTTATATCTTCAGGCAACGTTGCAAAAATAATCGAATCAGCTATCTCCGATGTCGGTACCTCTCGACGCGCATTCCCATTGGAGAGTTCTTCGGCCAATAGGTATATTTTCGGAAGGTCCGAGCCACGGTCGACAAACGTCGCTATACGGGCATAGGAAACCCCTAATGGATGAAACGTCAGCTAGTATAAGCAAGGGAGAGGAGTAGGGTGGAACAAAACAAAGCGAAGCCGACCGGCGGAGAAGAGCCAGCCGCTTACGACTACTCTCCTTGCTTTAATGAGGACGCTCGATTTTTGAAAAAAAAAAGCAGATGCGTTTCTGTGTCGAGAGCACCACCCGAGATCAGCTGAGCTGATGCGAAACGATCGGTTAGTCGGAGCTGTGTCAAGTCGGTGGCGTAGAACGCTTGATTTGGGATGGGAAATCACACGTATTCACGCCGCGGGTTGACTGACGTAGATGAGCAGAGTCAGACCTCAATGATCAGCATGCGGAGTCGGACCTGAACGGAAGAGTAATTCGTCGGTTTCTCGCAGGCAGCAAACGGCGCCATAGCCGACGCAAGCCCCAAGCTTCATTGTTGGATCGACATTCGTATCAAGCGAAACGTATGCTCGAGAAAGCTGAATAGGGATCGGATCGGGTAAGTACAAGAGCCGAATCCTCGGACCGGTGGAGGCCCTCGGAATCCCCAACTGCCCGAATCCTGTTCTTCGGAGACTCCATGACAACGGCCCCAGCCGAAGTCTATTCAGACTGGACGATCATCATAGTCTGGGGAGAGCCTGCTAGTCGATGGTGACGACTGACGACAGCGTCACCGTGAAACTCGACGACTATCTCCCAAAAAACGAAACCATAACCACAGAGTACTCACGGCCAGGAGGGAGCAATGCCAATCTACGGTGGAGGTCAGAAATAATCTTGTCAGGAACAAGAAGTATAATTCAAAAATCCTTCTTTCCTTGGCTATTTAATGGTGGCATTGCTCCGCACCCGACCAGGATTCCCTTTATACTGAGGGCCATCTTGCTAAGCCACCAGCTTTTTTTGAAACAACATTGGCGCCTATTGGCTGAAACCTCCTCCGCTTCGGGAACGCGCGCGAATTCAAATCATCTCGCTCCTTCAACCAGAATTAGCGGGTTACCCTGCAAGGGTCCGGAATCAGAGCGTCTGACCCTCGAAGCCTGTTTCAATTCTGAGAACGCAAGTTGCGGTCCTGAGGAGCAGTGCCAGCAGGGACCTTCACAGATCCCAAGGCTTAAAGGGCGCGAAAATTCGAACCTAACCACTCGGAGTCATCGGCGACCGGATGAAATTTTCAAGACATAGCCCATGGATTCCCGCATTCGTTTCGACAAATGTCCGGCGTGGGCGAAATCACTCGCATAAGCACGGTTGATGAGGATTGATCCAGTTCAGAGGCACCCATGATCGAGGAGTGGCGCGGAATCGGGAAGAGCTTTGAAAACACCGAGCGGTGAAAAGCTCGATCTATCCCAGGCAGCGGAGATGTCGAATGAAAGCGAGGACAGGCTCTGATCCTCCCGTTTCGGAGACCCTTTTCGACGAGGTATGAGGCGGGAGCAAGATTGTCCGCATTTTTGCGGCTCGATTTACTTTTGGATCAGTCGAAGCATTGTCTCCGGCCGATTCTAGTGAATCCCCATTCTAGTTTTAGTTATGCTGTCACTCTTCCGCCCGCTGATGAGACTAGGGTCCGCGATATCCCGACTTATCGCCGCAGCGAGCGGACCTCTAGGGCGGGATACTGCTCCAGCTGCTTGTCAATATATATCTCGCTCGGTGACACCTTTCTCGGACCGGACTCCCAATTCTGGAGCGGCTAGGAGAAATCTGATTCCCCCATGGACGGATTCAGTGATTAACCCTATAGTTTGCTCGGGAAACGGATGAATTCGAAGGCACTCGCGATCAGATGTGAAGTCGAGCGCGGACATCGCGCTACCTGTGTAAGTTTCCATTCTCTCGATAGAATGTTGAGATTCAGAGGAATGAAGAGCTTTGTCTCTCTGGAATTCTGGATCGAGGATTCACAGTTTCATTTATTCATGCCGCTCCCTCGTTTTATGAAACAGATTTTGAGCTCGCACTGTTGATTGACGAAAGCTGTGAAGTGATTTCAGCAAGGGTAGGCATCCCGGGCAGCCTTCCATTTCGTTGGTCTGGAATTCAATTCCGCAATGTAGTCCGATACGGAATCTAGGGCTGGAAACATTCATGCCGAAAGCATCTAAATGTGGGATACGCACCTCCAGCTCCCTCAGAAGTTTCGATGACCGTCAACTCTGGAAAATGAATCTCTGTTCCTCATCGAGTGTTTCTCGCGGACCTGGTGTGTCGTTCGAAGGATGATAAGATTCTCTCCTTAAGAGCGGAACCACGTACCGGTCGGTTTTCTGGTCCCCGGCTGGTAAGTTATCCGACCATTCTGTTGGTGTTGCTGGGTGATTTGCTGGGTTGTAATGGGAGAAACGGGTCTTTGTTGCAGCTGAGAAATCTGAGAAATCTGTTGGATCTGGGGTTGAGGACGTTGTTGCTGCTGCTGCTGTTGTTGTTGTTGTTGTTGTTGTTGTTGCTGCTGCTGCTGCATTTGTTGCTGTATTTGTTGCTGCTGTATCAGCTGTTGTTGTTGATTTATCTGCTGATTTATCTGATTATTGATTTGGTTAGTCCTTTGCACCTGCTGTGAGATCTGAGGCCTGTTTTGCATGATTGTATGAGTCGGCATCGGTGGCTTCAGCGTCTGTTGAGTGTAAATCAGTGGCTGATGATAAATCGCTCCTGAGTTCATGGGAGAGAGCGGCCGCGGCTCTTCGATTTGATATACTGGTCCTGGGGGACTGATGTGAACCTCTGGAACTATTTCATGAATGCTCTTGAGTTCTCGGCGCTGTGTTTTCCGCTAATGCTCTTTTTGCGCCGTATCTTCTTCCCTGCGATTATGTCATTGGCATATTGTTCTGTAGGTATACGAACATAAAACACCACTGCTATGACTCACCACGCCTGGTTTCCTGAAGTCCATGAGAGGTCAGGTACTGGGACAGGAAGTCTGGTCCGCTGGTGGAAGTGATGGGATAGGTCAGGGCGCCCGAGTTCTGAGCCCGACCTCCGCCGTGTAGTTGAATCACTTGCGTGAGCCCCCGGTTGAAAGCACCAGGGCCGACGGGTACACCGGAGTTAACGACCGGAGCTCCGTTACCATTGTTATAGATGACGTGGTGCACGATGACCTCCCCGGCTAAGGTGTGAGCACCGTTTACGTTGAGGGATAAGGTCGGCAGGGGAGTGTTCCCGTCTAGTTGGATAGGGGCCTGGATAGAAGTTTGAATCGGGGATCGGATCGGGGTGTGAATTGAAGTTTGGATTGGAACAGGACTGGACACGGTCGACAAGCCTCCTCTGTTACTAACGAAGGTCACCGATGTTGAGGCGCTCGGTTCGCTGTAGCCGCCCTTGACGAAACCTGAAATGAAGAACCGGTCGCGGCGTTGTAAGGAAATGAGCTCATGACTGGAGGCTCCTCTCTTGGAATCTCCATACCTTGAGCGGAAACCGCTGAGGCGATCACGAGAATGAGCGCTAATTCTCTCATGTTTGTCCCTCTCTGTGATTGGACGATTTACGCGACCACCTTAAATACGATGCCGACCGTGACACCGACATATCGATTTCTCATTAGGATGGGCAGCTCAGAATTGCTTCTTCTGTCAAAGTGGATGCTCACGACGCGTTTTCCATTTGTGGGAATGTCACGCTGTTATCCGAGGTCCGCCAGCATGACTTCAGGTACCGCCCCGGATCTCTCCATGGGATCCGTCTGTTTCGTCATTTCGACTTGGCCCACTCCGGAATCGCTCCGTATCCTCCGAATCGTGGGCGTATTTTGAGCGAGATATGCTCAAAAGTTTCCGACTCAATTACTGTTGTGAGCTCAACGGTTGAGGAAAACGAATGCGGATTCATTTCCAGGATTGTCCCCTCTCTGTATTTCCGAAGTTTCCTCGAAATTCCGAGCGCCTCCGTGATCGCGTGAGTTGATTTCGGGACCAGTCTTCTGAGACATGATCGATAAGATTGACAACGACCGGAGGGTCGTATCCAATACAAACGAGGTCGCCGAATTGAAATTCTCGATCACCGATACGCACTCAAGAGGCTCCAAACGGTACGGTTCACTATTGAATTGCTTCTCCGGTCAAAATCAGACGGATGTCATGCTACTTTTTGATTTCAAACGAATATAGTAGAACGACCCTGGAATTGTTTTTCTCATCCCAGCGACAGATATCACGGTCGTCGACCGTCTTTGGCGCAGTCTCTCCTCCCGATAATCGTGGGAACAGGCCTGATTATCGGGATACTGCTGGCGGGTTTCGCAACCAAGATGAATCTTCCGGATAGCATCGAAGAAATACATGTCGACGCCTATGTACCACCTTCTGACCTTTCCGAACTGTTCCAAATGGAGTAAATGGAGTCGAATGATTTTCGTCGTTCATTTGAGGATGTTATGTCAGAGAAATTCCGAAGAACAGTTAACCGATTGCCGAAATGTCTCGGGATGAATCCGTGAATCGGCGGCCGGTTCCTCAGCAGCTGTTTCCCGGTCCGCATCGCCGCTAATATCCACCGAAGCCACCGCGCTCTCTATCAGTTTGTGAAAACGAGGGCTCCGAAGAGGCTATACTCGCGTGGGTTCCGATGTTCGGAGCTTGGGTTCCGCACAGGAGCTGACAACCAGATTTTTTTTCCGCTGACAATGAAACTTCGGATGCGCCTGCCTCCGGATATCACACAAGCAGAAACATCGGTCGGCAGGTCATGAATACTCGTCGTCAACCGACGCGAGAGTGGAGCAGCGGGAAAATTCGCTTGTAAAAACCAAAACTCCGGAGAAAGAAAAAATGCTTTCGAGCTGCATTTATCGGCTCCTTGGCACAATTCCCATAAAATTGCTGTAAAAGGATGGCAGCCCCTGATGCTCACCCTCTCGATGGAGCAAAACGGAACAGAGGATGCCAAGAAAAACCCGCAAGGAGCAACTGTCCTGAGGGCATTCGAATTTGCTACACGCGGCCACTTCCGGGCCGACTTCCTGTCAGTCACGTACAGCTCTCGTCTTCGTGACTGCCTTCTTCTAAGATGTAATTCCTTTATTACCCTGAGCCGAGAGGAAGCGCAAAATATCCCGGGAAAATAGCTTCGCCACCTGCCCTGCTCGGTAGTGAGCGGCACGTACGACGACGCCGACGTGCCCCGGAAGTTACGCTGCCGATTTTTGAAAACAAGGTTCCCTCGTGAAAGTATCCGGAGTGACAAAAAGCCTCGACGGTTACCTAACCCGATGAGAGCTCAATATTCAGCAAGGAGCCGCTGGCGACAGATATGAGAATTAGTCTTATTAGGAGAACTTCAGTCGCAGGTGCATCTTTATTTCTCGAGCTTTCGTTCTCCCACGGATTGCGGGCTGGCGAGTCGCTATCGCACGGCAACGGTTCCAGTCTAGAGGAATCGTGTGATTTCCCTTCTACTCGCTACTGCGAGTTTCTTGGGAACTCTATATTCTCGCGATGGAGTTTGTATCGGAGGAGTACCGTATCTCGGCGGGTGAATCCTCAACGAGTTTTTCGAACGGTGACTCGCCGTCCCCGTCGATCGATCTCGACCCCAGACGGCGGGCGGTGCGGCGCGGCAGGATCCCCGAATTCTCGGCCGATTGGAAAACAATCCGATCTATCGGACATCATCGGATTCTTGTAGCGGAGTTTCGACGCTTCGAGAGCGGAGGTGATCCAGCACATCGTCAGAATCGGTAACGATGCGGGGGGTGTTGCTCCTACAAACGAGTGGGCGGTCGTTTCCGAGCGGTCTACAATCTACGACATTCTGAGGAGGAAGCTACGCTCCTCGAGGAATGTTTGCCAACGACATTTGGCCAGGGCCCCGGTAACGCCATTACAGACGACTTCTCTTCGGGCCAGGTAATCAGACGGCGCGCTGGTTCTTGAATCGAAAAACTCGCAGAATCTACGGATATTTTCCCCTCCTCAGCGTCTAGCAAAGCATACGGACCGCATCATTCGGTAGCTGTCAGGGAGCATGGACAAGATAACGGAGAGGGAAAATAGCAGGAATTCTGGATGAGTCGTACGGTGTGCTAATTATCTATTCCCGTCACAGTCGAGACGCAGCTGTGCCGGCGTAAGAGCTACAAAGACATCAGGTTTTGTACGTGACCGTCAAGAAGCTAGCATGGACGACGGGTTGCAAGATCACAACGGCTGCAGGCGTCCAGCTTGCATTGCAGTGGAACCTTGATTATATCAACAAATGACGGCAAAAATGGTTGATGTGATCGGGGTTCCGTAGCCATCCATGGACACCTCAATTATATCTTCCATCTTCTACGAGAGTGGAGATAAACGCCTGTTTACAGTAAATCACGTTCCTCAAGGGTCGTGGGAAAATCCTATGTAAACTGATATCCCCCTGTAGCATACAATCGCAATGGATGTTTGTCTATTACCGGACCAGTTTCGACGTGGAAACGTCTTCCAAAAGACCCGTAGATTCAAATCCTTGCTATATAAAGAGGGTAGATAAAAATGAGAATCGGAGCTTTCAGAGTCTTCCAGAGGGCTGGGGTTATTTCGAGAAAAACTTCGTCATTATGCAAGTACGATTGCGAGCGATCACGAATAACGATGTCGATCGAATGCTCATCATGAGGCCGAAGACTCGTAGTTAACAGCGACGGAGGCTTCGCGCAGAAAGGGTGGAATCTTCTCGAAAGAGACCCCGAACTTCCGCAGAGAGATCGGCACGCACCAGAATCGAGTCATGAGGGGACAGATCAAGTCGAATGAAATCCATACAGCAAAATAAAGATCGGCCAGATCGTCGAGATGAATCTCAACAAACTCGTCAACCTGACTGCAATTGTGTTTGACGTGGGAAACATCCAAACTTTCACGTGTCGCGATGGGCAAGTTCGGGAAGAAGAAGCATTCGACTAGTCGATAGCTCAAGAATGATCGTTACTCTCCAATATGGTCTGAAGAGGCGCACTGAAAGATGAAACTGAAGGGGAATGCATTACTTTCACCAATGTTTCCGTCAGAGAGTACAGAGAATAGAATCACTGACGGCGACGAGCAACACTGTTCAAGCTCGCCCGAGGAGAACCAGAGGACGCCGACATGAGAGAGCTATTGACCCTGTGGAAAACAGAAGGTTCAAGATGCGACTCCGAGCAACTCAAAATCCTGCCGAAGAAAATCCGGGAGCCAAACCGCTGCCGGAGGAAGATACCAAATGGAATCACTGAGGAATCGATTAAAGTGCATGCATCCATGCTATTTCATTTATAATCTCTGGACTAGAGGATCCAAAGGGAAAGATAATAATATCTAGACTAGAGAATCCAGAGGGAGAGAGAGAAGACTTTCTACGTCCCATAACACTGTAGAGGCGTAGGCGCTACTGGCCTTGGCTGTTTTGCACCAAGCTTTTCCGAACAGACTTGAAAGTTTTTCCAATGGATCCCCATTTACTCAGTGAGGTGAAGATATACTCTTCTGGCTGCTTTGAAGCATGCTTTCGGCAATATTCACGGGTCTTTCCAGTTATTGTCATCTTTCAGCAAATATGAAGCCTTTTCAACGTGATGTCATCACAGCTCTTCTGGGCGCCAAGCGCTCTCACGGCTAGTGATGCATGAAATCAACAGATTTTTACAAAAAGTGATGTGATCGATTATATGGATCAGATTCCACAAAAAATTCAACCATTTGTATAATTGGGGTAAATCGGGGAGTTGATGTAATCGAGTTTTCACGTATCTCGACCCTGTGTATGCCGGCGTTGCTGCGGCGACCGCAGAACTCCCTAAGAATTAATGTTTTTACGCTCTCGGAGCGGTGATGAGTTGATAATCCGGTCGCGGCTCGGTTCCTCGGTTTTTCGACACAGGATCTACTTGGGGTGAGGTTGGATAAAGAAATATATTCGTGAGCGTGGCTGACGTGAGGGAAGTGATGGATCATGTGTAGATGATGCTCATTGAAATCATCGAGCCAGCCTGAAGTTGTTCGTAACGATGGGACCAGCATCGATAATGAGGAGCTTTCTCAACAGCGAGGGTACCGCATTTTGTTCCGGCCCGTGATAAAAGCGACCGACAAGAGATCCCCCAAGGTGCACAGGGAGACAGGGGGTGGGACAGGAAGAGGTTTTCAATAGTATCTCCGTATTATTTTCTGGCTTATCGGCTCGCGGAGAAGTGAAAGTGCTGGACATCGCATCCCATGCGGGGACTCGGGACGAATGCCCACTGATTTCTTCCGAACATCATGTTGCAACAACACGCCGAGACGGAAAGCTCGACACCGTGCGTGATCCCCGAAGATGGTCTCTTCCGAAATTGCCAAAGTGTGGAGATTCGGGTTAGGTGCATGGGCGACTATGTGGGTGGGTGGGTGTTTCGCTTGTTTTCTGATCAAAGGCCGGTCAACAGAGACCTAAATAGCGGACCGGCATGCAGAACATCTCTGAGACGAGGGTGGAGTGAGACAAATTCGGACACGCCATCGGTTGCGCCGCAA